GCAGGATTTCACCTCTGCCACTCACATCTATGGGACTGAGAGATCTCCATTAAATGAGCAAAACTTATCTCTATAAGGCCAGTTTGGGTCAAGCAACCTTTCTACTTACACCCCTGAAAAAATATTGCAGTGAATGGAAATTTGTTAGTGCATGTGTAATGGCACTTGCTCTTTGGTTAGGTGAAATAATAGGAAATATAAAAGCTGAGGCAAAGTACTGTCAATCACAAAATTTCAGCAATAATTTCATGCTTTCTTGAAGTCTGCAGATTTTCCTTGGATGCAAAATGTATCCCTCGGCTAAAGCATGTACAAAAAGCACATTTGAGACTAGAAGAGGAGAGGATTTCCAAACTAACACATAGGAAGGTGGATCCTAGAGCTGCCACTCTGTCATGTCTGAGGAGGATCTGGTGTGAACTACCCTCAGTGTTTTATAAAGAGACCAAGTAAGTGTCAGGGTAATCAAGGCTGGTGGGTTTGCCTGGCCATGGTTCATTATCTGTTCTGTGCTGCCCACTGCTATTTCAGAAAAGACACGTTCAGCTCCTTTGCATTTACTAAACAGAGATCAAACACCTGCAAGGCAGCAAAGTGGCACCACATCCTTTTTTTCTGGGGACGTGCAATATAAATAAGCAATATAGAGGAGGAAAAAGAAAGAGAATTTGGAGCAGGTGGCACTGGTGATTGTCACCTTTACTTGTCAGTTCAGACTTTGGGATAGCGTCTAGTGGTGGAAATGGGCTGGCCCTGGAGAGGAAAAGGTAGCACTCCAGTGTACCAAGTGTCCAGCTCTTTGAACCACCTGTTTACATGGGAGTCTCTTCTACAAAACCAAGACTGCAGATGTCTTGGGGATGAATTCCCCTAAGTTTTGTCTCCCAACAGTCCATGCAGTAGTAACTCTGGCCCTAGGCACGTGCAACTGAATCCCTCCTATCTGAAATCTTTGCTTTGTTTGCTCTCCAAACAGTAAAGTAGTTGCTCCAGGATGCATATGTAGAACTTTGTAAATTCAGATTTTGTTATGAAACATTCCTGTCTGAATGATGACCCATTCACTCTAGGTGCTTTATATGAGTAAAATAGAAATTGATTCCTGGGTTTGGCAATGGCACAATGAAGGGGACATAGAGCTTTTCTGATCTACACAACCATAAGCAGGTCAGACCTCCTCTCTGGAGGCAAAGTGGGTTGTTTGGGATCTGAAACGTTGTCTACCTTGTTTTCAATGTTAATGGCAAAACAGACTCTAAAGGAACAGGTCGTCGTATTGCTTTTATACTGATTCAGTTCTAAAAATCTGCTAAGAGATTTGATTGCAGTTCATAAGAACAGTTATTATTGAACATAAATAATATGTTCATTTTCATAAGTCTTGTTTAAGATCAGGGCTGTGTAAGAGCTACACATACTCGCAAAGAGACTGTTCCTGCTCTGAAGTCTTTATAAACTGAAGGGGCAATGCCAGTTTACATCAGACTAGAGATTTAGCTCACATTTTCCAGAGAGGCTGAATATACAACATAAGGGAAAAGAAGCCAAGAAGCCACAGCGTTTTGACAGAAACAGGTTAAGCAGTTTTATGACAGAGGTTCTCTCCCCATGCTGGCCTATGCAGGCAAGAACACAAAACCTTTTTCAGACGTACCTGTTGGTCATGATGAAAAACGTAGGCAGCATCTCATACTGACATGGCTAGCTTGGGAGGCCTGCTCACAAAAATCCTTCATCAGAACAGCAGCTGTCTCCTTCCCCTGAGCAAATTCCTTTAAAGCTGTCAAAGATGCTGTAATCAGACTAGGTCATCAAAACCAGTCCTCCTGAGGACTGGAAATAAGATCCAGAGATGAGCATTCAGCTACATGGGCAAGGTCTAAAACACTAAAGTTTCCATTGAAATTAAATGAAGGGACTGTAACTGCTGTGAAAGAAAAGCAAAGCAATCACTGGGAGAGCCCAAAAGCTTTCAAACTACCTCCTGAAATGATGCTGGCTGTAAAGCAGGGATCTATGTACTGCTTAACAGAATCTGATAACAGAGCAAAGCTTTTACTGGGAAACCAACTTAGATAACTACTGGAGCATTTGCCTGTGTGACTCCTGGAGCTAAGGCAAATTTTAATCGCGATTTCACCACACAGTTGAGTAGTTTTATTACCAGGTTAAATAAAAAAAAGGTTAATAAAGTAATAAAAACGGATTCTTTTTCTTCTTGATTTCAAAACATGAAGCTGTGGTCAATATGTTTAATAATTTGTAAATAGAGTGGAACAAAGCACTCTAGGCAAGGAGACCACTGAGAGGGGATTGCTGTGCATTGGCACCCTCTCTTGTACGTGTGCGTGCATCAGCAGTTTTGCAGTTTCCATAAATCCTTTGTCAGCAAGGAAAAGAACATGGACTGAGTTCCTTTCTGGTGCAATGTTTACTGCTGTTGCTGGAGTTATGTCTGGGACAAATCTGGCCTGGATTTGACTAAATCCAGTCTTAGATAAAATTAAAGAATATCAGTGTATTTGATTTTAGCTGTGTTTACAGTACACTGGTTACAGTGTCCGATTTTAGATGACTGATCTCTGCTTGAGGAATACTGGTACAGCAAATAGGTGAAAATGTGTGCTTAATGTTTCCCAGTGCTTTGCCATTACACAGATACTGGTTTCCAGCTCTTTGCTATTGTTTATATTTTAAATAAAGAAATCATGGCAGTGCATAGTGTGAATGTTTGCATAACTACAGAAAAAAAAGAGGAATAAACACCCTCTCTCCTGGGCAGAGACAACTAGGGACAATCACTGACTGATCTGACACTGATGCTCATGGTCTGGCCAGCCCTTTGGTACGGCTGGCCTATGGGCTGGCCAGGAGGAGCAGGCAGTGCCCTGACAAGGCACAGGCGAGGGGACCAGGGAGCGTGCCAAGCTGCCCAAACTGAAAACAGCAGCTGGTATTTCAGGGGGAAATCTCCGGG